TATATATATTTTTAACACGAATAATTGAAATCATAAAATCAAAACTAACAAATTTCGATGCCATATAAATGGTTTCCATTTGTTCATTCAATTGTTTGTATTTTCTTCTTTTGTTTCATTTATGCAAATTGTATTTGTTGTTTGAGTCTTTGGTTTTAAAATCAACACAAATATATTTTTGTTACTTTTTTTTATAATGGTATTATTTCATACATTATCTCTGTTTATATATATAATTTGTTCTGCTTTGTATTTGTTTTACAGTTTTAACTGCATATATTTCACATATACTAGATTAACTCTATGCACATATAAATAATTATATATATATATATATGTATAAGTGTATGTATGTATATAAATATATATGCATATTTATAAGCATATATATATATACATACATACATTAACATATAGTTATACTTTTATACTTTACTGAAATTTAATATGTTGTCCAACTTATAGGCTAAACATATTTCGGTTTTTGTATTTATAATTTGTGTTCCATAAAATATATATGAATTTAAAATGTGTTTATTTGGTTTTTATTTTAAAGTTTGTTCTCATTTTAAGACTAAGCTTAGTTCCATTCACTTTTCATTTTATTGTATAAATTTCTGCATTTGTTTAGCTCTGGTATTGTATGTGCGAGTTTTTGTGTTATTTTTGGCTTTATTTTATTTTTTAGTTTTTATTTATATTTATTTTGGTTTTTGTTGTTATTATATTATGTTTGTATGTATAACAATAAGTTATTTTAAAATAATATCGCTTTAATACTTGAGAAGGAAATTGTGCAAGAGTTCGAATACGCATAAACTTGTTTTCTTCTTTTCATTTCATTTCATTTGCTTTTATCGTATTTTCTTATGTTTACAGACGGCTTTTTGAATTGCGAGTCGCATAGGATAGCGCTGTTGCGAGATGGCTGTCTGCATTTGGGTGCGAAACTTGAGATTCGGCACATTAATAAATAAAAAACTAATAACAAAAAGCATGGCGCTGCATTTGCAACAACATTGACTAGATCAGGACTTCCTTTTTTTGGCAATAATAATTGTTGTTTTTGGTAAGGATTAAGGGACAAAGATAGGTAAAGCTGCAAAAATAGCGCCTTGCTTTGAGAGGCTTTGAGCATTACAACGAGCAAAAGCGATAGATTTGTTGAAAGAGACAGATTGTGCGATAAGTTATAATAAAACTATAAACAAACAAATTCCTAAAATTAGAGTTTGCCTGCGTATCCTTGTGTCTGCGTATGTGTCTAAGTGTACGTGTTTGAAAACAATTTTATAGTTTGTTTTATATTGGCACTGGGCGTAGTGACGACTATAAAATCCTCTACGCATTTCCAAATTCATATACATATGTAATCATTTCCATCTATATATAACTTGCGATTCTTAGCATTTCATTTTGCATTTGCGTTTTTTGTTGTGATTTCTTTATAGAACTACGCCTTCGTAATTTTCCAACATTTAAACTTAAAACGATAAAACAGACAACTAAAAAAGGTAAAGACCACAACTGGAAACAGACAACAATAAAGCGTTCATAAAGTAATCAACGGAAGCAAAGTTTTTAGGTTCAAGTGCTAGGGAGATAAGCTAAGTCTAGGAATAGGCTAAGAGATTAGCATAGGGTTGCATGTAATTAAAACCCCGGCAACGAAGTGCCAACTGCTTAAAATTTCAACTGATCCAGTTTGCTGGTTTAATTCCCGCCAACACTAAGCGCATATCCATCCAATCCAATTATCCAACGGTCGCCGCTTTAAAACACCTTGCGCTCCGGCCCAAACTTGGGATTAACAAATGAGAAGCCGGCGAACTCATCCTGATTAATGCAACGAATGACATCATTACCAATTGGTGTTAGCACAGGCTCCTCTTTGGTGAATTCGGCATCGAAATTGTTGGCATCACGTGGGTTTTTCTATAAAAGGAAATCAAAGGGTTGACCAGCTATCTGGCTAACACTTTTACGAAACATACCATTTTTGGTCGGAATGGTGGCTTTATGTTGCGCTTCTCCAACTCCTTCCAGTCCAGTTTATTGAAGAATGCATGCTTGCGGATTTCGTTCTCGTCACCTGTACAGCCCAAACGCTGCTCTGGGTTCTTTGTGAGAAAACCTAGAGTGGACATTGATAACATATAGATTGTTGTTCTCACGTGGAAAATCGAATCTTACCTTTCAAGATGGACACGGCTTCGCGGGACAACCACACGGGGTAAAGCACATCATCGTGCATTATAGAGTCGAAAAGCTCATCTTCATTGTCAGCCTCAAAAGGAGGCTGGCCAGCCATCATCTCGTACATAAGAACGCCCAACGCCCACCAGTCCACGGATGCGCCGTATTCTTGTTCCTTGAGAATTTCGGGGGCTATGTAATCGGGTGTGCCACAGAATGTCGTGGTCAACATGCCGTTCATGATGCCCTCCTTGCACATGCCAAAGTCAGCGAGCTTACAATGCCCCTCCTGGTCGAGCAGTATATTGTCAAGCTTCAGATCGCGATAGATAACGCCATGGGTGTGGAGAAACTGCAGGGCAAGAGTGACCTCGGCGGCATAAAACGCTGCACGGCCCGCTTCAAAGCGGCGCGCCTTCTGTATTTGAAACATCAAATCGCCACCGTTAACATACTCCATAACGAAGAATAAGCGATCTGGGGTCTGAAAACAAGAATGTAACGCCGTAAGGAACGGATGGTTGGCGGCCAGGGCCAAGATACGTTTTTCGGTCATCGTGCAGTCAACATCATCATCCTGTATAATGGCATCCTTCTTCAAGACTTTAATGGCATAGATCTCATCGGTGCCCTTCTTCTCGGCCAGCATCACTTTGCCGAACGAGCCCTTGCCAAGCACCTTAATAAAGTTAAAGTCTACTAGCGAGCACTTGCCAGGACGGGAATCTCCGCCACCCACGGCTAGGCTCATGCAGCTGCTGCTATTGTAGCCGCTGGTCAACGTACTCGTTGACGTGGCCAAGCTATCAGCGGACAACGTGCCGCTTCGAAAT